AACCTCGGGCCATAATTGATCCACCTCCACAGTGTCATGTTGAGAAAATTTCTTTTGGGACATTTTTGCATGCTAATAACGCTGAAAACCGTCTGGGTCATCAAGATTTAATTTTTTTTCTCGTCTGAAAACAACACTTTCTTCCATTTATCCACATCACAAGTTTGATAATCGGAAGCAAATTGTAAACGGGAGGTTTTATGGCGAAGAAGGCGAGGCCTCTCCAGCCGTTTCAAGTTCTCATACCCTTTTTTATTTAAATGGCATCAAATTGTTTGAGAGCTGCATTCATCATCTGTATTCGCTTTTATCTGATTTGATGTTAGGCTTGAATCTCTCTTAACTTCTCGCCTAATGCGTCTGGCTAGAGATGGTGAGTTCTTATTGGGGCGACCGCTTGATTTTTTAGAAGCATACGCATCCAGATTTTTAATGAAGTTAGCAATGACAGTTCCGCTACGGCCAATTTCATTTGCAATGGCTTGTTGCGAAAGACCACGTCTTTGAAGTTCAACAATCCTGCCCTGTTCGAACTTTGTTAAAATTTTACCCTTAGCCATATTAAAATCTGAAATGTAATACTGGAAATAAACGACGTAGATGTCTACACGCCTGAAGCTATGACCACACTGACTAGTTCTAAAATTTTTGTCTAGTAATTAGTTTTTTTTATACATGACCAACCAATCACTGTTTAAATTAATCTATTAAAAGCTTAAAATTTTCATTGTTTGTTGATAAACTACATTTTCTAATTAAATGTAAATATTTCGCAAATATATTTTGATTAAAGTAACAGTATTTTATATATTTGTTTTTTTTTTTTAACCCTTTTGTATCTGGTCTTAAGATTTTGACCAGGGCTGTAATAACAGTTCATTATTATCAAGTAAACCCTGAATTTGCTCCGGTTATGACGATTGAGTAAGGTCCATTGCCTTGATCGTCTCTTGCAATATTTCTCACCTAGTGCGCACGGTAGCTTGGTACGCCCCAATTTTAATTATTCTACAAGTGTGCATTGAATTTTAAAAAAATGGTTGGGAAATACGGGTCCATATTTTAAGTGAAACTCCTATATACGACCTATCTCTAAAGATGTTGGAAACATGTTTTCTTCCTTATACCGCTCTAGAATGTACGTAACACCCGCTGTGCTTTAACTTTACAAGAGTTAGGACCAAAAGTTCCACTCAGATAACTTCTTCCCGAGAATCGCGACAGTATGGCTATAACCGGAGGTATCGAAAGGGATCTACCGGGAACATCAGGAATATGACAAGGAAAGAGGGCTTGGAAAACGTGATACTCACAGGACAGATTGAAGGAAAGAGGGACAGACGAAAGCAGCACGAAATATATTTGATGAGCTTGAATAAATGTATGGTAGAAAAGAGTTTGGTAGCAATAACAAAAATAAAAAAAATTACAAGAGACAGGAAGATGTTGGGGGTGGGGGTAATGATCGCCTACGTCCTGAAGGGACACGGCACATAAAAGAAGAAGTGTTGAAAATCAAGAATGTCGCAATTCTCGGGAAGAAGTTATCTGAATGGAACTTTGGTCCTAACTCTTGTAAAGTTAAAGCACAGCAGGAGTCACGTACATTCTAGAGCAGTATAAGGAAGAAAACATGTTCCCAACATCTTTAGAGATAGGTCGTATATATGTTTATTTATACTACTTTCAATTTAATTTTACTTCTTTCTGTTTTGAAATCAGAAATAAAATGGAGGAAATAGAAGTTAAACAGTATAGATGATCTCAGATAATTAGGAAATATCTATGCAAATGATACCACAGTGGATGTGTAAACCTCGAAAAATCTGGATGATTAAAGCCTAGCACTTGATCTGTCCGACCATGCTCTAAAAGTTCAATGTTGAAAACTCTCTTGTATCATTCACTCTCTCGAAATGCAAGCTACTGGTTGGGAATCCTTTATACGAAATTCTTGGGACTAGAAGTGCTTCAGTTTTCAGGTTTTTTCGAATTTTGGAATACAGGCTATTTAATTTGAATATAGCATCTATAAAATGGTGCAGCTTTGGAATGGACACGAAGCATAAACACGATATCCCTTTATATCTCATAACACAGCTTATAAATACACCCTGAATGTAGTTCCATATGAATAACATATACCCTGAAAGTAGTTTTATATAAAATTTAATAAATTTTGTGTACATACAAATACAGGTAATAACGCTAGTCCTTTAATGCTCACACCGATTTTTAAGTGGCGGAATTAAGATTTCATGTAAAAATTATATGTTGTACTTTCTGTACGTGTACAAAATGACTACTACTACAATATATATATATATATATATATATATATATATATATATATATATATATATATATATATATATATATAAATGCAGGATTTTTTGACATTTTGAATAATATCTTTATTGAGCACGAAACACGTGGTAAGTAATCCACGAACAAAGGTGTTGCTGTGATGTTCGCTAACAAAAAAATGGCGCCAACGTAGTCTAAGTAGCTAGGTTTTCTGAAATCTTCCATTTATGTCTAGTCTTGTCAGCACCTGAAAAACCTTCGGGTTTTGAAGGTTTTCGGGTTTTGAAATTTTGGTAATGAATACTCAGCTTAAAGTAAAGTTTCATGATCGCCAAGTGGGCACTGAGTTTTCTGAAGTCCTGGTGAGCAGTTGTGCTCTTAATGAGACTCCTAGATTTGACCATCTATTGGGATTTAAGTTCATCCCAGACCGTAAATGGAACATATATACGACTCATCGCTAAAGTTGCTGGGGCAGGATCGGTACCTTGTACCGCCCTGGACAGTAGCTGAATCCTCCTGCTCTGTTTTACCTCTAAAAAAGTCAGATCAGACCAAAAATGGAGTATTGCTGCCATGTCTGGGCTGGAAATACACAAACTTCCCTTTCTAGACTTGACAGAAGCGTTTACACGGCCTTGTTGGTGATGAATTATTTTCAACCGTGCAGCCCCTTTCTCACTGTCGAAACGTTGCCAGTCTATCACTATTCTATTACTACTTTTTATTTTTTAATCAATTCACCCCAAGCAAGGGGATGATGCAACTGAGGCGTAAGGGAGTTAGTAGAAGTGAAAGAGGATTAAAAGATTTTAAAAGGAACCGGAAACCCAATCCTAAACAGGAAGCAAGAGATAAACCTACAACTAATTAAAAACAATAAGAAGGAGTGTGAAACGGACGATAGGCAAAACCTATCTACTAAAAAAATACTTTAAGCAAAGCGATAATGCCACTAAGACGCAAGTGGAGTGGAAAAGAATGAAAATACCTTAATGGAGAGAAAGGACAATAAAAGAACCGGTTTCATGAAGCCAGAAGTTATTGTTGGTGTTGCATTTAAATTACTCAAGCAATGGCAAATATATAAACGAACTACATGTTTTATTTCCACCACGTTCGCATTCCATTGATAAGAAGGGAATTTCACTCAGACAGTTTCTTTCCGAGAACCGCTAATTTGTAAAAGAGACTCCCTAGTGGGTGCTTCCCGGATCAATACAATCTTAACCACATCTAGGTTAGATTCAACCATTATCACTTCTACGTATCCTCAAAATCTGCCCTTACCTGCTTCTCTGACGACTCTTCATCCTCTTACATATTCAACAACCTCATTTAGTAGCCCTCTGCCTCTCTGGCTCTTGGGCATTGTATTTGATGAACATTTAGCAAATACACTGGCTATACTTCATCAATGAAGTTTGACTATTACTACTACTAATACGTGTGTAATAAAAAAACAAAACAAAAATAAGATGAAAGAAATACTAGACAATGATTAATTATAATTGCCAATGCTTCATCTAATAAATTCAATCAACAAACTATTACTACCGGGAGTAAAAGTCAGACAGACTCGAAGAAAAGAAATAATATTCGTAAATTAATATGAATTGATAATGCATCCTCTAAGATATTCAGTCAACATCAAACTATTACTACCGGGAGTAAAAGTCAGACAAACATGGCGAAAAGAAATATTATACAAAAATTAATATTGATTGACAATGTATCGTCTAAGCTATTCAGTCAATATCAAACTATTACTACAGGTGTAAACCCCAGACAAACATGAAGAAAATAAATACTAATTGAAAATTAATGATCGATAATCTTGCATGCAAGAAATTAAGTTAACATAACATTACTACAGGATATAAAATTTGAAAAGAAATAAAACAATTGTTAATGATTGATAATGCTTCATCTGGAGTGCTGAATAGACCCACTTTTCAGCACTCCATCATCTTATGAAATAATATACTTTCCCAAATCTAACCAAATAACCAAACCTCAGATTTTTTTCTTTCGAAGTCATTCTGAATTTCTAGAAAAATATCTTACAGGTTCTGGTCAATAAAACATGGTTACATATATCATAACCCGAGGTGCATATATATGTATGGTAATATTTGATTTAATCTAGTCTTACATAGTCTTTTTATTATACTACCAGATTTACCATCTTTGATCTTTCGAAGATTAAATCTTTCTATTATTATTTAATGACTGCAAATAAATTTTGGTTAACACCCAAAGTGGAGATGGGGTAAAACAGATCAAAGAAACGTGTTCAGAATGGCACAACCAATTTTACACAGAAGCACACATCAATCGGTGAGTGGGAGAAGGTTATACGGGTATATTTGCCTGGAATCACCGCGAATTCTTTGATATATGTATTTTTCTTTATTGTGTTCTCACCCATGTGAGAATTACTAGCTGATAACAGAATATTTCCATTTAAATATAGCAATTGGACACCATTAACAGGCCGCGGTTGTGTTGTATCTTTAGAACGTTCGACTGCAACCTCTTAAACGATCCAGAGACAGAAGCCGTCGCTGTGATGAAGACAGCAAGCGCGGGAAGGAAAGCAAGGCCGGACTGAAAGGAAAGGAAGAAGTAGCGGTCCATAGCTTTCGGTGATTACAAGTAATAGCATAATTATAACGACTGTCCTTCGATCCTTATGGCCGCTTAGAGCGACGTTGTTCCGTCGAGCAGTGAGAGAATTGCGTTATGGTTAGATGATTTAGACGAGAAGGGACCAATTGTCGGGAGAGGAGGGAAACTGCTTTGTTTGAAAAGAATGGGAAAAATCTAGGAAGATCCAGAGAAAGAGAGAAGAGAAAGAAAGAGGAGAAGGAGAGAGGAGAAAGAGAGAGAGAGAGAGCATAAGAGAGTGAAGGGGATATATATTGGTTGGAATTTGGTAGAGAGTAAGATTTGCTGCGACACAGGCGATTGGTTGGTCTAGTGTGAAAGGCTGTGATTGTCACGCACAGAGAAGTTCCTGAACGGGAAGAAATAAGATGGAGAAGATTGGAGTCAGTAAGGAAAAGGAAAAAAAGAAGAAGAACGAAATGAATAGAACAAGATAGAAAGAATGTTTCTTTTTTCAAAGCGAGAAGCGTTAAAAGAGCATCAACAGAATAAAGACTGACAAAAAGAAGAAATAATAATATGAAGAAGAAGAAGAAGCAGAGTAAGAGGTAATTAAGGAGGAAATAGAGAGAGAAGATGCTTAATGGAGCAAAGGAAAAAGAAGGAAAGGAAGCAGACTATAATAATAAAAATAATCATAATAATAATAATAATAATAACAACAAGGAAAGAAGAAGAAAAGAGTGTGGAGGAAGAGAAAGCTAACTAAGGAATGAAAACAAGCGAGTAGGAAGATAAGAGAAAATAAAAGAAACACGATAATACTATTATTATTATTATTATTATTATTATTGTTGTTGTTAAGAAGAAGAAGAAGAGAGAAGAAAAAGAAGAGGCGAGAACGAAGAAGACGTATAAAGAAGAAGAAGAAGAAGAAGAAGAAAAGAGAATAAAGAAGAGGCGAGAACGAAGAAGACGTATAAAGAAGAAGAAGAAGAAGAAGAAAAGAGAATAAAGAAGAGGCGAGAACGAAGAAGACGTATAAAGTAAAAGAAGAAGAAGAAGAAAAGAGAATAAAGAAGAGGCGAGAACGAAGAAGACGTATAAAGTAAAAGAAGAAGGAGAAGAAGAAGAAGAAAAGAGAATAAAGAAGAGGCGAGAACGAAGAAGACGTATAAAGTAAAAGAAGAAGAAGAAGAAGAAGAAGAAGAAGAAGAAGAAGAAAAGAGAATAAAGAAGAGGCGAGAATGAAGAAGACGTATAAAGAAGAAGAAGAAGAAGAAGAAAAGAGAATAAAGAAGAGGCGAGAACGAAGAAGACGTATAAAGAAGAAGAAGAAGAAGAAGAAAAGAGAATAAAGAAGAGGCGAGAACGAAGAAGACGTATAAAGTAAAAGAAGAAGGAGAAAAAGAAGAAGAAGAAGAAGAAAAGAGAATAAAGAAGAGGCGAGAACGAAGAAGACGTATAAAGTAAAAAGAAAGAAGAAGAAGAAGAAGAAGAAGAAGAATAAAGAAGAAGAGAACGAAAAGACGTATAAATAAAAGAAGAAGGCGAGAAGAAGAAGAAGAAAAAGAGAATAAAAAAGAAGCGAGAAGAAGAAGAAGAAGAAGAAGAAGAAAAGAGAATAAAGAAGAGGCGAGAACGAAGAAGACGTATAAAGTAAAAGAAGAAGAAGAAGAAGAAGAAAAGAGAATAAAGAAGAGGCGAGAACGAAGAAGACGTATAAAGTAAAAGAAGAAGAAGAAGAAGAAGAAAAGAGAATAAAGAAGAGGCGAGAACGAAGAAGACGTATAAAGTAAAAAAGAAAAGAAGAAGAAGAAGAAGAAGAAAAAGAGAATAAAGAAGAGGCGAGAACGAAGAAGACGTATAAAGTAAAAAAGAAGAAGAAGAAGAAGAAGAAGAAAAAAGAGAATAAAGAAGAGGCGAGAACGAAGAAGACGTATAAAGTAAAAGAAGAAGGAGGAGGAGAAGAAGAAGAAGAAGAAGAAGAAGAAGAAGAAGAAGAAGAAGAAAATAGAATAAGGAAGAAGCAAGAACGAAACGTAAAATAAAAAGAAGAAGAAGAAGAAAAAGAATAAAGAAGGCAAGAACGAAGAAAACGTATAAAGAAAAAAGAAAAAGAAGAAGAAGAAGAAAAGAGAATAACGAAGAGGCGAGAACGAAGAAGACGTATAAAGCAAAAGAAGAAGAAGAAGAAGAAGAAGAAGAAGAAGAAGAAAAGAGAATAAAGAAGAGGCGAGAACGAAGAAGACGTATAAAGTAAAAGAAGAAGGAGAAGAAGAAGAAGAAAAGAGAATAACGAAGAGGCGAGAACGAAGAAGACGTATAAAGTAAAAGAAGAAGAAGAAGAAGAAGAAGAGGAAGAAGAAAAACAAGAACAAAAACAAGAGAAAGGAAGAAATAAATAAAAGTAAACTAAAACAGAAAGAACAAAGAGAAACAGTAGCATTGATATGAGCATCAGATTTCCAAACTGTAACTTCCTGTTCTTTCTTATTGCGTGATGGTTATTAAGGGACATTCCCTGGTTCAAATCCGTTGAGCCCGGACTTAACTCTGACCTTTTTCTTATATTCCTGTGAGTCATTATTACAGAGAGAGAGAGAGAGAGAGAGAGAGAGAGAGAGAGAGAGAGAGAGGGAAGCACTAGCCCAACAAAGAGACGCTGGGATACAAATATACAAAGCCCAAAATACCTATTATTATTATTATAATTATTATTATTAAACAATATGATTGACGTAACTCTTCTAATATTGTTCAACAGTGATGAGAAGAGCGCGATTTAAGAAAAGGAATAGAAAAGAAAAAACGCTGTGTTTGGCAATGTTAAACATTTCAACTGAATGTACGTCTTCTTCTAGTTATATTTAAACAATAGATTTTTCATGTACAAAAATAAATAAGTCTACAAAAAATTATAAGTCTTTGTAGAAGTGTTGCTTATTTTGTAATGGAAATCGGTTGGACCTGATAATGAACGCGTCAAAATGAATGAAATGCCGCCAACGTGAAGGCATGTAAATGAAACGTGCTTAATATCATGGTGATCTTGTTCTTGAAATTTTCCGCTAATTGATTGGTTACTAAGAGGAATTTGGGGAACAGCTGCTCGAGGCCGCGCCCTCCCATTGCACCAGAGGGAGGGATCGGTGCTCGAACCGAGGCGACCGCAACCGACGGTTGGCGGGTGGGTACGGGGAATTTTTGTTCCTTCGCGGGTGCATGCGCTCGGTCCCCCCACATTAAACCGACCTTGTTTCAAAACTTGACCTCTTAGGGGGGGCTTTGAGTAAATATCTTCTAAGAGGAATTAATCAGTCAACTTAGTATAGAACTCTCCTGTCATTCTGGTCATTCCCCCAGGGCGGGAAGTTAGTAGTTTGCTTACGTAACCATCCGCATGCGTTTTAAGTGTTGAAAGCTCGGTTTTGGCTTGATTTGGTTTATTTGACGGCATATCAACCTCAATGGGTTATTTAATGCCAAGATTTTTATTGCTAGTTATATTTTTCCCCAAAAATGTATTACTGGTAATATGTTTTTACAAAGTATTTCTGGTATTAAAACCCATTTTTACACCGCCATATTGTTTTGACACCAATTTGGAGGCCACCTATTTACCCATAGCTGCGACCCCAACAGGTACTATCGCCTGGGTCAGGGGGACCTGGTAATACCAGCAATCAAGAGGCCTTGCTGTCGGGCTTAGTTTATCGTCTTACCGAGACCGCGAATGTAGTTTATCGTCTTACCCAGGACGCGGATGTAGTTTATCGTCATACCCAGGACGGTCGAAAGCTCGGTAGATTCTGAATATTTTTTCAGAAAGTTTACCTTAATATGTTTGTCGATTATTATTATTATAATTATTATTATTATTTGTGTATGTTTCCTGCTTTTTATCCGGTAGAGCCAGGTCCAAACTATGGTTCTTAGGTCCTATAGCAGAATTGTCATTTAATTGATAGTACTTTTCTTAATATATGGGATGTTCTTAGTAGGGCGAAATTCTGGCCAACTTGTATGCTGATGTTATCTGGGACACTTACTAAAATTTTCCATTTCTTTTCTCACGAGGCCCAGTGCTCCGATTACTATTGGTAGTCTCAGTCTTCATTTCCCACATCTTGTTAATCTTGATCTGCAGATCCTTGTATTTGGACAATTTCTCGATAATGTTTTTGTCTTTTATGATAATATCTGATCTGATGGATTTTATTTTGCTGTCAGTTTGAATTGACATGTCCCAGATGATAATTACATCGTTATTTTGGGTAATTGTGTCTGGTTGGTGGTCATACAATCTCTCAGTTGTTTCGGTATTTTGCTTCTTGCATATCTTCCAGTGCATATATGCGGCTACTTTGTTTATATCTATGGGTATATTCATATTTTGTCAGTTCCAGACATCTTGAGATAATAGGATCGACAGTTTCATCATATTCTCCGCAGATCCTGCATTTCGGTTTAGTTCCATCCTTGATTATGTGACAGTGATAAGATCTGGTTGCGAGGTTTTGGTCCTGAACTGCAATAATTATGCCTTATTTTTCATCTTTCAACCCGATTATTATTATTATTATTTACTTTGATTTCTGGCGTGTATTCATTTCTTTCCGGGTCCTGCCCAGAGACCTAAGGTGAGAAATCATGACATTTTCCACTGTGCAATTTGAAAAAAAAAAAAAAAATGACGAAAAAGATTAATAAAAAACCCCACAAAAATCCAAATAACCAAAAAAGAACGTACACATATTTTACATAGATAAAGCTCTTTGTATGATGTGGGCTGTACTCGTGAGAAAATTTGTTTGTATTTCTTTAAGGCATTGGCTCCACAAATCCCTTCAATGCGTTTACAGGAATCTTTCCCAACAAATCCGAGGACTTCAATTACAACAGGGATTGTTGATGTTCCCACGTGCCACAATTTTGAGATATCAATTTCAAGGTTCTTGTATTTTGATAGCTTTTTGAAGATCTTTAAAAGTAGATTGCAGTTTGCAGGGACTGCCATATCAATAAAGAGGCAATTTTTTGTTTGCGTTCTCTAATAACGATGTCAGGACGACTAACTTTGATTGCTCAGTCTTGTGTGTATTGTTTAGTCCCATAAAATTGTTTCAGTTCTATCTCTGTAACTGGGTCTGGGTGGTGTTCATAACAATTTCTTTCAGTTTCCTTTCCGTAAAAGTGGCAGATTTTCCAGTGCAGATATTAGTCCACTCTGTCATACCAGGTTTTATATTCAGTGGGTGCCAATACAGAGCAACCTGATACAAGATGGTCTGCTGTTTCTGGATGAAATATCATGGAATCTGCATTTTGGGCTAACACAATTTTCTGGTATGTGTGCTTGATAATTTCTAGTTGATCCTTTGCAGTAAAATTCAGCTTCAGTTTTTAATACTGCACTACGTAGTTTGTCTAAATCTTTGGTACGGGCAGATTATTAAACGTGAAGCAGTTTATCTTGCCGTCGTTTCTGTATATGGTCGGTTACATTTGCCGCTGATTTCTTTTTTAAGTATTTTGCAGCTTCAGTCGGTGTATTGTGCTTTATTATTATTATTATTATTATTATTATTATTATTATTATTATCATCTTTATCTTTGATTTCTGGCGTTTACACATTTCTTTCCGGGTCCCGCCCAGGGACCTAAGGTTAGAAATGGCGTCATGACACTTTCCACTGACAAAAAAAAAAAATAATAAATAAATTACATAGATAAAGCCCTTCGTAAAATGTGGGCTGTACTTGTCAGAACAATTTTTTGTATCTCCTTGAGGTATGGACTTCCAGGAATCCCTTCAATTAGTCTACTGCAATCTTTTCCAACCAGTCCTAGGGCTCCAACTACAACAGGGATTGTTGATGTTCCCATATGCCACATTTTAGCGATTTCTATTTCAAGGTCCTTGTATTTTGACATCTTTTTGAATATCTTCAAAGATACATTGCAGTCAGCAGGGACTGCCATATCAATAAGGAGGCATCGTTTTTGTTTGTGGTCTTTAATAACAATATCTAGCCGGTTGGCCTTGATTGTTCTGTCAGTGTGTATTGTATAGTCCCATAGAATTGTAACAGGTCCTAACTCCGTAACCGGGTCTGGGTGGTGTTCATACTATTATTATTATTATTATTATTATTATTATTATTATTATTATCTTCATTTGTTTTCTGTTTAATACAAACCCTTATCACACCCGAGACCTGTTGTAAATATATGCACAAATTTCGTAGAGTGTTTATATTTTCTCTTCATTGATAAAACTTACTTGAGTAAACGAGCAGTTCCACCTTTTTGAATTTCTAGTAAACGGAACGATTAAGCAATAAGGATGTCTTAAAGATAATCGTAGTAGAAAGTCAGCACTCATGAGGCTGACTATGAAGGAGTGTTGCTATAGCTGTGAATACTTATATGCATTAATTTCAGCTCTTCTTTGCATTATCTTTTCCAAGTAAACTGATATCTGACTGTTCAAAGAAGTCTTCAAATGTAACTAGTAGCGACCTCTATTCAAAATGAACAAAGTCAGAAGTCATAGGAAGTCATGAAGATTCATAATCACCCTAAAGGGAAACTAAGACTATCAAAGACATTCCTTTTCAGTACATTTTTATGGGACCAAGTACTACAAATTGTTCAGTATGTCATGTTAGACAATTTTTCTCGCCAGAATCTATTTTACATATTTATGTCTATTATTGGTCGATGCTTAGAATATCGCCGCCACACGTCACCTGGTGTTACTACTGTACATTTTCAGATCCTTGATAAAATCCAAAGAAAAATCTGCAATATCATTTGTCCTTACCTGACATTTCGGTTTCAGTCTGTTTCCCATCACCGTCATGTATCTGATGAACACTATAGTACGTAGAATCTATGAATTTAAGCGGAGTACTAGATTGGCGAAAAGTTTCTAGCATTTTACAGTTGAAATGTCTAACAAATATAACTGTTAATTCTATGCTAACAGTTTCTTTCCTTGCAATTCTCGCTTACGGGACACTCTTTTGGCTTCTTGCTTTCCAGTCAAATTTGATCTTCAAAAATTTAAAAGCAACGTCAATCGTTATGTTCTGTCTTCTTGATTTCTGCTCTTTTATTGTTCTTGACAATTAATATTGTTTTTTTCTTATATTCTTTCAGACTCAGTAACCCCTTGCATCTTAGTGGCTTTGTTTCCTTTCTTGGTGTGAAATGATTAAAAAAAGTTAGAACAGTAGTTTTAAGAAGACAAATTTTTCAAATTCAGTTTCAATTTTTCATTTATTTTGTCATATTCTTTATCAGATATATTTAATAGGATTTTATTTTGTAGGATTTTATTTTATAGGATTTTATCCTATTTTCTAGGATGACACTCATATCTATCAGGAGGTGTTTTTGTTTGAAGTCTGTTCTCTTATTTTTATATCTATCAGAATAAATGGTAAAGTGTCCATGAATAGTGATATCATGATTGTGTGAATAAAAATACTGAAATTGTTATGGAGTGGTTTCATAGTGGAGGCTTGTATTTGTACTAAGTCAGTCCTAAAATAGGTTCGACGTACAAAACGTTAGGAACTTCATATAATAGGTATGACGCAGAGAAATCTAGTGGAGGTCGCTGATACTTTAGTATCCGACTAACGGTCGTCCGGCATCGACTGACTGACCAACTCACTGAGCGACTCAGCGACGGTATTTAGTCACCCCCCCCACGAGGGCATATGTGTGGCACAAGGCCGGATTAACGTGGTCTCGGCCAAAAATATGCCCATTGAACCCATATAAACGGGTTCAGGGTCGGTTTACCTCCCCGAAAGAGAATCCGCCCTTCGGCGTAGCCTCCTTCGGGTTCCTCCCCGCCCGAAGGCAGAGAGTTCAACCGGTCAGCCGGTCGTCCGACTTCAGACTGAACTCAGAGCGACTGAGCGACTGACTTGTTACTCTTACTACTCCTATTTATTATAGTTGGGAGAGTCTATTAACTATAGAATAGGTGTGTTCCACTATAACAGAAATATATACTAGTGAATACGCTATCCAATCATAGATCGATCTTTCAGGCTTACGGACATATCACGTTGAAATACCTGTTCTCGTACGATCACCGAAGTTTGGCAACGTCAAGCCTGGTCAATAGCTAGATGAGTGACCGCCCGGTAAGGCCATGTGCTGTAAGCATGGATGTGCGTGTGGTGTTACGGATAATCGCTCGGAAGTGAAAATCGGAGATACGATTTCAAATTCAAGTCAGCCTCGTTATATTCTCATACGTGCAAATACACTTGGGAAAGATACGAATCCATATTTTCCATCCAACCATAACCAATTCCTAGGATTTGTATCAGTAAATCATTAATATCGGTAAAAATATTCGAATCTAAAAATAATTACTGATTTAAATGACATGCAAAGGGTTGACAAGGCGTAAAAAAGATCAATCGATCAATAAACGTCAATCTTTTGGTGTCAAAACTGGAAAACCGGACACAATGTCGTCAGTCGTCTCAACATGCTGTTCACGTAATCTACATATTGCATTCCCTCTATTTTTCATTATTTTTGCATGATAATTCCTGGTAAATAGTGTTTGGTTTTGTGCAGCCATTATAAATACTTCTGTTTCTACTTTTAACTATATACTCTTCAGTAACCGATGGCTTTGTGCATTTAAGTACATCCTAACTTCTGAATGCATTTTGGATATGTAGTGCGGTTTTCTTCCCAGGTGATTTTTAAATAACTCTTCTCTTTTAGCATACTCTATTTTAAAAAAAAAAATATTTTAACTGCATTTGTTAATTGAGTATTTTATTCCTTTCACAATGATACTGACTTACTTTAGAAAGTTATTGTCCTCTATATAAATGGATTTCTTAATATTTCTCATCGGAAATATCAAGTCATAGTATCCAGTCAGATGTGGCCAAGAAATAGTTTTTAAAACAATTATTGTACATTATAAATATTAAAGTTGTTTTATAAATTATTATTATTATTATTGTTTTTATTTTCTTTGATTTCTGGCGTTTACACATTTCTTTCCGGGTCCCGCCTAGGGACCTAAGGTTAGAAATGGCGTCATGACACTTTCCACTGACAAAAAAAAAAAAAGAAGTGATTACATAGATAAAGCCCTTCGTAAGGTGTGGGCTGTACTTGTCAGAACAATGTTCTGTATCTCCTTGAGGCATGGACTTCCAGGAATCCGTTCAATTAGTCTACTGGAATCTTTTCCAACCAGTCCTAGGGCTCCAACTACAACAGGGATTGTTGATGTTCCCATATGCCACATTTTAGCGATTTCTATTTCAAGGTCCTTGTACTTTGACAACTTTTTGAATATCTTCAAAGATACATTGCAGTCGGCAGGGACTGCCATATCAATAAGGAGGCACCGTTTTTGTTTGTGGTCTTTAATAACAATATCTGGGCGGTTGGCCTTGATTGTTCTGTCAGTGTGTATTGTGTAGTCCCATAGAATTGTAACAGTTCCTATCTCCGTAACCGGGTCTGGGTGGTGTTCATACCAGTTTCTTTCAGTTTTCTTCCCGTAGAAATTGCAGATTTTCCAGTGCAGATATTGGCCCACTCTGTCATGTCGGGTTTTATATTCAGTGGGTGCCAACACCGTACAATCTGCTACAAGATGATCAAGCGTTTCTGGATATTTATCACAGAATCTGCATTTTGGGCTGACACAATATTTTAGTATATGTGCTTGATAATTCCTAGTTAGCAAGCATTTGTCCTGCGCAGCAAGGATAAAACCTTCAGTTTCTGCTTTCAACCCTGCACTACGTAGCCACTGATGGGTACGGGTTTCGTCTACGCCAGCTTGTTTGGTGCGGGCAGAGTATTGGCCATGAAGCGGTTTATCTTGCCATCGCTTCTGTAACTGGTCTGTTGCATTCGTCTTAGCTATCTTTTTTAGGTATTTTGCAGTTTCAGCCGGTGTATTGTGCTGTAGTTGCATCTCTACGCCCATTTGGAACTCCATTTTGAATTTGTTGGCTTCCTTCATTACGGAGTAGAGACGCTTACTACTTTCATGTTCCTTGACGCATACCATCATCCAGTCTCCAGTAGTTTCCAAATATCTTTGGAGGCCAATTGTTGTAGTTTTGTAGGACAGTTCTAGTTGAACTAATCCTCTGCCTCCTTCGGATCTGGGCACATACAGACGGTCGACAATCAGCTTTGGGATGATGCATGCGATAGCAAGTGAGTAGCTTTCTCGTTTTGGCATCCAGTCGCTTAATTTCAGCTATGGTCCAGTTAAGGACATTAAAGCTGTATTGCACCACAGGGACAGCCAATGTGTTTATGGCTGATATCCTGTTTTTTGAGTTCAGCTCAGTATTTAGTACCAAACGTACACGCCTGTAGTATTCTTTTCTTATTTTTTCCTTCATTTGGGGGTGTTGTATACCATCTCCTTCGCTAATTCCTAGGTACTTATAAGCTTCATCATGCTCCAGTTCCCTAATCTTTTGTGACAAAAATCTAAATCTATTAAGGGTGTTTCTGTAATTCTACCTTTCTTGAAAGTTAATTTTGCACATTTATCTAATCCGAAGTCCATACCTATGTCGTCACTGAAGTATTTTACAATGTTGAGGAGGCCTTTCAACTCATTGTCGTCTTTGGCAAAGAGTTTGAGATCATCCATGTAGAGTAGGTGATTGAATATTTTCTTATTTATTTTGTAACCATAGCTACTGTTGTTCAGTTCATGTGTAAGAGGGATTAAGGATAAACAAAACAGAAGGGGTGACAGAGAATCTCCTTGAAAGATTCCACGTCGGATTCTCAGACGGTTGGATATGGCAGTGCCCCCCGGCGTGACTAAGGTATAGTTTGGTGTTCCACATTCCCATGCTGTGCTTAAGGAAATTTAATACCACAGGGGAGACTTTGTACATTTCCAAAGTCTTAAGGATCCAAGAATATGGAACACAATCAAAGGCTTTACGATAATCAATCCACGCTGCACTTAGGTTCCTGTGTCGTCTCCTGCAATTTTCCAGGATCATTTTATTTATCAGAAGTTGATCCTTGCAGCCATATGAACCTCTTCTGCATCCCTTCTGTTCCAGCGGGAGAGTGCTGTTTGTTTCGAGAAAGGAATAAGTACGGTTCGTCAATACAGACGTGATCAACTTATACGTTGTGGGATTATTATTATTATTATTATTATTATTATATTTAGATTTCTGCTATAGTCACACTACCTACCAGGTCTGCTGCAAGACATAGGGCGGTGTTGTTATGGCTACATTTCATGATTTGATTTTCTAACTCCCATAACATCACTAGAGTTACATGGACAAATTTCTTCTTAGTGTCTAGGCTGTACTTATCAAGACAGGAATTTTTTCATTGTTGCTGTTTTCTTTTTTTCTTTTTATAATTCCAAGTGAACCTACCATGACTGGTACTATTCTTGTTTTCAATTTCCATATTTTTTCAATTTCGATTTCCAGGTCTTTAAACTTTGATAGTTTTTTCAAATTCCTTGGTTGTTATATTACACTCCGTTGGGCAAGCCATGTCAATTAGTAGGCAAGAGTTTTGTTTTCGGTTTTTGACAGTTATGTCCGGTCTATTTGCTTCAATCTTCCTGTCTGTAAAGATGGTGTAATCCCATAGAAGTGTGATGTCTTTTATTTCTGTAACCGGTGCTGATTAATGTTCATAACAGTATTTGCTAACATCTTTTCCAAAGTGTTAGCACATTGTCCAGTGTAAATACTGTCTCGCTCTATCGTGACGATTTTTTATATTCATTTGGCGCAAGTACAGAACATCCTGAGATTAAATCATCTATAATTTCCTGATATTTGTCACAGAAACTGCATGCTGGATCCATATTATAATGTATATTTGCAGAACTTTTCTAGGGAAAAGACTGATCTTGCGCTGAAAGAATAAAGCCTCCCGTTTTAGCCTTTAATCAAGATGCTCGTAACCACAGATAAGTGTTAATTTTACCAACATCGTCTTTATTAGCCTCGTTCTGGATATTGGCCATGTAGAGGTTTGTCGTGCCAGCATCGTTTCATCTGTTCAAGAGCTTTATCCTTGACATTCTTTTTCATAATTTTCGTTGCAGCAGTTGGTTCTTGAGTTCTGTTTTGCTTTTATGACAAAATCTACTAAATGTAGATCTCATTTGTATTTACAACCTTCTTTTTTCATTTTGTTTTCGTGTTGTTTGATTAATCCAGTCCTTTGTTGTTTATCGTGTATGATAATAAGCCAGTAGTTCTCGTCTTATATGAAAATTCTAGCTGAATAAGACATCTTCCGCCTTCTTTACGGGGTATTTATAGACGGACAGCATCAGCCTTTAGATGCTGCATGTTATGCTTAGAAAGATTATTATTATTATTTTTATTTTCTTTGATTTCTGGCGTTTACACATTTCTTTCCGGGTCCTGCCCAGGGACCTAAGGTTAGAAATGGCATAATGACACTTCCCACAGAAAAAAAAAATTACATAGATAAAGCCATTCGTAAAGTGTAGGCTGTACTTGTCAGAACAATTTTTTGTATCTCCTTGAGGCATGGACTTCCAGGAATCCCTTCAATTAGTCCACTGGAATCTTTTTCCAACCAACCTAGGGCTCCAACTACAACAGGGATTGTTGATGTTCCCATATGCCACATTTTTGAGATTTCTATTTCAAGGTCCTTGTATTTTGACAGCTTTTTGAATATCTTCAAAGAAACATTGCAGTCAGCAGGGACTGCCATATCAATAAGGAGGCACTTTTTGTTTGTTTGTGGTCTTTAATAATAATATCTGGGCGGTTGGCTTTGATTGTTCTGTCAGTGTGTATTGTGTAGTCCCATAGAATTGTAACAGGTCCTATCTCCGTAACCGGGTCTGGGTGGTGTTCATACCATTTTTCTTTCAGTTGCAGAATTTCCAGTGCAGATATTGGCCCACTCTGTCATGCCGGGTTTTATACTCAGTGGGTACCAACATCGTGCAACCTGATACAAGATGATCAACCGTTTCTGGATATTTATCACAGAATCTGCATTTTGGGCTGACACAATATTTTAGTATATGTGCTTAATAATTTCTAGTTAACAAGCATTGGTCCTGTGCAGCAAGGATAAAACCTTCAGTTTCCGCTTTCAACCCCGCACGACGTAGCCACTGATGGGTACGGGTTTTGTCTACGTCAGCTTATTTGGTACGGGCAGAGTATTGGACATGAAGCGGTTTATCTTGCCATCGCTTCTGTATCTGGTTTATTATTATTATTATTATTATTATTATTATTATTATTATTATTATTATCATTATTATCTTAGCGTGCTTCTTTCTCTTTTTTAACCAGGCTTATGGCAAGATCATTTTGAAGGATCGGTTCTCGTACGAACATAGGTGATAGCTAAAATCATGATTTTAGCTATCACCTATAAATATGTGTTTCTCTTTGCCTCGTTAGCCAAACTTTCCCTGACGATCCGTTTAGGTGAAACCTAGGTAGGTTTGTCTGGCTCACTAGGTGTATCTTGGTCTGCTCTATGGTTGTATTGAGCTCTTTTGTTAGTTAGTTGTTACTCGTATCAGGGTTTTTTCTTTGGGCTTCAGACCTGCATCTGTGCGATTTTTTTTTGTCGGCAGAAGTTCATGTTTGTAGCTCTTTCTTTTTTAAAAACCTTTTTTTTTCCCTCGAG